CCATGAGATGTCAGCCATCACTGTGTTAAAGCATAGCGTGGTACATACCAACGACTGCTCAACCATCTCTTTTCTTTCTCATCTTTATTTATTTATTTTCATACTCCAACTCTTATTGGCATCTAAAATCACTGATCTCTACCCATTACAGTTTTTGCTAATTTACAGTGATAACTGTGGCTCTGTTTTCATTAGGAGATGAAAGCCGGGAAATTAAAAAACAAATTACAGGGATGAGAAGATTACTGAATGACAGCACTGGAAGAATCTATCAACGAGTTGGCAAAGAAGGAGAAAAACTGAAGGAGGAGCCCCAAGATTTAGATTTAGCCTGGGCCCAGCGCCTGAATCCCCCTGCAGAGTCCCAGGCGAGCCTTCATCCTTCACAGAGCAGTGCATGGAATGAATTATCACCCCAAGCTAGCCATTTTTCAGGGCAATACGGAACTCGATCCAAAACATTCCAAAATCAAACGCGAACCGTGGCATCCAATGGTATGATCTTCATTAGATACTGAGAAAAGTACTTTTTTTTAATTTTGTCTCCTTGTACTGTACCAAACTTCTGCCTTTGTTGTGATGATTTATTGTACTGCTGCACTGAAATCAGTTATAGTTCAGAGTCTACAAAATGAGCACATAGTTACCACTCTGAAAAGGTGCGAAAGTGGGCACGGTGCATTCTGCTACCATCTGTCTTAGCTTTTAAAATGGATTCCTGGTGATAGGACAGAATTACTCAATGCTGTTACAGGCTTAATTTCTATACAGTACTTATTAAAACAGCTTTTGCCATTGTTATTAAATTCATAGCTAATTAAATGTCAACCTCTACCACTCCTCTTTGCAATGAGTAATGTAGCGCTCTTGTGACACCACTTGCGGAGCAGGATTCTACTGACTTTCATAAGGGGATGGCATCAGCCTTATAACTGGCTGCTGAACTTCAAGTACAAAATCCCATCACAGCCTTAGGCTTTTATTCTGATGGGACCATTGGAGAAAAGAGGTGATGGAATCTACCTATGAACAGCATGTACTAGAGCATGGTCCATCTTGCGCTGGCAGAGAATTCTGCCCTGAAGTAGATGGCAGTGTGCCCTTAAAATGCCTTTTTCGAGTTGTTTTAAGTCCCAGAGAATGGAGGTTTAACTACCAGATTTTTGAAGGTCTTCCTTAACAATCTAAATGCAATTCAGAAAGTTTTTTCTCCTGATACTCAACCCTAACCTCAGGGTGGTTTTATTTTAAAGGGGTACCTCAGTTCTAAATTCTGGAAAATAAAAAAGTGAGATTTCATCTGAAAACATTATGAATTTACAATTTCCAGTTGGTTCTGAAGGTGTTCATGCTTCCCAATAGGGGCATCTGCTGTGTGTCCTTCTCTAAAGGCATACAAGTTCTTATTGCTTGTAACAAACAAAAAAACCCCAACCTATTATTATTCTCAATACTGTCCTCTACTGTCACTGCACTAAAAAACCGTGCAGCCCTAAGTTTCACCAGACTGTTTCTCTATAGAGACAAAGATTCCCACAGAGGTAGCAGGTGACCTGGAGAAAGATGTTGCAGTAAGTTGTGCTAGTTGTATTTATTTTATAATACAAAAAATAGTTGTGAGGTTTTTAAAGGTGAAGATTCAGGGGAGAGAGGAAAACACTTGATGGGAATTAGCATCCAAGTCTAAAACTATCCTCTCGAAATCCCACTATAATGACCTTCTAAATGTGGAAGGACCCAAAATTCATCACACATCTTTCTCTTTGCCCTGAGAGTCCCTGGGCACCGTCAGGGACAGTTCTCTGCATGCACAGAAGTGCCCAAGCCTGCACAGCTTAGGTGCCTAGTTCCTGGATCCAGAAAGTAGGTGGAGCAGCACCTCTGTCCCCTCAGGGGCCTGATTCAGCATGTGAGCTAAAACGTGTTGACAGGATTTGGCCCCATATGCAAGAAAATGTCAGTGTTTTAATTTTTCATATGAGGAAGAAGGATTTGGCTGATTTATGATCTCCTACAGGTTAGAATGTCTGTGAGAGAGTAGAAGGATTGGGTTGAGTGACCTCCTGGGCTGGACAGGGTGGATGCCCAGGCTCCCAGCTCTTGGGGAAGTGCACCAGGAGGCACCTTCCACCCCTCCCTCTGCAGCTGTCCGGCTGCAGAAAGGAATGTAATCTTTAGGTTATTACATAAAGATGGGTGTGGGCCCTCTCTGCTGGCCACCTTTGAAAAGGCAATCTGCACAGCTCCTTGGTTAGAGGTGTCTGCCTCCAGTGGGGTGTTGCGATCCTGCCAGACAATTTTGCTGCTTTGGCTCCGATGCTCGGTCTCTAGGAAAGGGAAACTTCTGATGTGTTTCTGAGCTGTAAGCAAGCTCTAAAATTCCTCCTCACCCAGCACGCAGCTCTCTGGGAGGCCATTGTAACATGCCTGATTTCCCCTATCCCTTGCGTTGGGAGTCTGAGCATCTAACTCTATTGTAGATGTGATTTGGAGGGTGGACAAAGTCCTTAGAAGCTGGGTGTAGAAATGCTGAACAATACATCAAAGGAGACACTACTGCTTGGTACTTACCATGGTGTTTAAACTCATCAGAGCTAAACTGTTCAGGTAGGACATAAACATACTACCTGTCAGGCCTCGGCCATCACTGGGGAGATGTCCAGGCATCTATAGCAGGTGGTCTGAGTCCAGAAACTGTTTCTGTCCATTGTGGCTAGACACCGTATAGGAAGCCAAGATATATGTTGTAGGCTGTCTGAATTACTCAAATTTGAATGTAGCAGGCATCGAAGTCAATCTAACTAGCGTAGTTATCTACTCGCATGGTAAAGGTGGCTCAAGGAGAGGCTGGAATGGATATTTAATAGGTGCTGGTGTAGAAAGCAGTTGTGAAAAAGATATTGGCAAAAACAGAGAAAAGGAAAAGCAAATCCAGCAGTGACGCAGCAGCTGAATTGCTTTTCGCTTATGTCAAGCTTGTTTTCAATGGATTGCACTTGCATGCTTTTCTAATGTAACCTTGCTGTAGCAATGTTAGTTACACCAGGTGAATTCACTTTCAGTAGATCCAGCTGCAAGAACCGCTGTCCTGGGCTACCTGCTGCTTACACGAGGGAAACAACTACTGTATTTGTGTCGTCTCCTTCTCTCAATCATACGACCTGGTATCAAATTTGCCTGCTGGCTAGCTTCCAAAAGAGAGGGAGATGGGTCTTTAAAGACTCCTTCATAAAAATAAAAAGTCTGTTCTCCTTTTAAAATTAAAAATTGATTTATAACAAGTTGAAAAGGGTTGCTTTTGTCCTCTAAAAATGATAAAGATAGTGCTAGGAACAATGACTGAGAACACTCTACAAGATGTTTCTTACAACACAGTAACTGATCAGAAGAGGGAGGATAGAAAGAAAATAAAAAACCCTCATGAATATGTATGAAGTCAGTAGAACCCTGCTTTGATTTGAAATATTGGTGGTCTCTTTTCCCATTTCCAGTACCTATGGTGGATTTACGTGGGTAATTTCTATCAATGCTAATGGGGATTATAATGTAAATCCCCCATGCCTCAATGAGAAAATAGACCCTTTGGTTTTCCATCAGCAGCCTGCGTGCCTGTGTGCTTTCATTAGGAACACGTTACATTGCAACAGGAAAGATGTACAGGTATTTACTGATACAATTTGTCCAAGTTTTCACATGCGGTTCACCACAATGTCGAGTCTTTGTTAAGAAGGAAACAGAAGCCACCAGGCCTGTCTCCCTCTGTAGTCCTTCAGATATTATTTCCAGGGGCCCACAGGAATCTTGGATTCTGATCAAGAGAAGGGATAGACCTTGTCCCGAGGAGCTTATTAGTTGAAAACATCTGAGAAAGCACTGGAGGAAGGATGTTCTTACTATGTACTTGTCTTTTATTAATAAAACTATCCTAGTTTCCTGGGACTCCATTTCTGGGGTGCCTGCTTGTCTTACTAAAGGGTACAGAGTTATGCTGATGCTATTAAATTTTAAGTAGTCTTGAACCTCATCTACTTAAAAGTCTAACAGATAGATAAAGGGTATTGGTGAAGCCAAGTTGAGGGATTCTGAGTAACCTGCTGCAAAGCTAAAGATAACATTTTTTTCCCCCTGTGTACCTGTAACAATGGGCTAAACACTTTGTGGACCACTGAAAAGATAAAATCCCATCCATGCCCCAAGGAACTTCTAGTCTGAATAGACAGCATACAAAGGAGGGGTGAGATCAAACTAGGCAGAGTCCTGCTGAGTCAGTAACCTGGTTTTTGTTTTAATTTGAGACCCTCAGCCTGTTTTCCAGATTGCTTTTTACTTTTAAAAAGTTATTTTATTTACAGCTGAAACCTTGGAGAGAAGAAGCAAGTGGAACTATTGAATTTGTATTTGCTAGATTTGCAGGATTCTTGAAGTACTCCATTTATCGTAATGCAGCATTAACAGATTTTGTCCATGGATGATATTTTAAAATACCAAAATTTGTGATTGCAGTAGTGTGGACAATCTAAGTATCTGAGTAAAGGAGGAGCATGACACACAGGAGATGTCAGCAATCTTTAAGTGATGTATCAGTTTAGCTTCACAAGTAACTCACTTTTGGGAGAATGACCACCAGTTTACTCAAGCCTGATAGATGTTGCTTCAGAGCTGAAGGACTGAATGGAAGGAGGTAGAGAACAAGTGTCTGGGAAGGGAGATTTGAGGATGGAGGGACACATTGGAAGAACTAGGAAAGGGTGGGAGCGATTTAGTGGTGGCCAGATTTTCATCCATTTCAAATGAGGATTGAAGTCAGGGGATCTGTGTGTGTGACATCAGGGAGCTCTGATGAAAGAACGCAAACCAAACCTAAAAGGGTATAGATAAACTGGTTTGGCTTCAGAGGAAAGCAAAAGTAATAATGAAAAATGGGAGGATTTATGAGCGAAGATTAAATGAGTTGCTTATGTTCAGTTTAGCTAGGTAATGATTAAAGGGCACCTGACAACTGTCAGGCTATGGAAGAAAAAGGGAAATACACTCTCTGAAGTCCACCACGTGACACCAAGCGAGATGATTTTTGTTAGATCCATTTGTACCTATCTTCATAAAATGATCATCCCTCCTCTTGCATGCTTTGATGAGCAGTAAAATAGCCATCAATTTAAATGACTGTAAGCACATTTTGAAATGAAGGGGGGCACATCCCATCTGGCCTCAGTTTCAAGCAGATTCTGCTAGGTATTCTGTTGAATTTTCAAATTTTTATTTGCAGCATTAAAGCTAGGGATACAGCTATTTTAAACTAAAGCACAGGGTACAACTGTTGAAGTAAAGCTTGAAATCTCTTAGCTGTTACAGCCTGTCCTAACTCAGGACCTACAATACAAAACTCCTGGAAAGCAAGGCAGTAATAAAAGCACTGCAAAGGGCTAGAACTAAGTGTAAATTCAGTTAAACACTAGTAAAAATTCCTAGAAAAAGAAGAATCCGGTGAACTACTATATTCATTTTCAAACTATGGAAAGCCCATCTCGTAGGTCACAGTGCTGGAAAACAAGCCATAGAAAGCAATCCCACCCTAGCAAACAGAAGGGCAGATTTGAAAGCTTTCCTTGCTGGTGGTTCTTTTCCATCCTGTTGTGGTTGTTTTTTTTTTCTTCCTCTGAATAGGGTATTTTATTTTCATTCTCAATTCTTCACATGGTAAAGAATCACATGTAACATTCAAGCACTTTAAAAATTCTTAGGCCCTCATTTAATGTACAGTTTAAACCTTTATTACACAGACTGTCTTCATTCTTTGTAAGACTGTTCCGGGAGATGGGCTTTTTTTTTGTGTGTGTGTGTGATAAAGTGAGTATGTTTATAATGAGGTTTGGTGCTATTGTTATTCAAGATGAACTAGCCTGACAATAGAGCCCTGCTGTGAAGAGTGCATTGTATTCACGCTCAGAGCAGTCTTCTCCAGCCCATGTAACATTGCATCCCCTACTGTATATAATTGCACATGCTACTAATTGGATAAAAACGAGTGGCCCCTTCCTCTTGAAAGGGACCATGTTGAAAATTTTGGTTTTGGATATAATTTCACGATCGGGTATATCGATAATAGTTTCTAACGCCTGCTGGTAATTGTCGTTTGGGTGGTTTTGTGTGGGTTACATTGTCTCTCCCCTGTTTCGTTCCTCTCTCGTTCAGGAGAAATCCCAATGGTGAATTCATCAATTGGACCAAACTGTTGTACGTGTAATTGCCAGTCAACCCTGCAGGCTATTCTTCAAGAGCTCAAGACCATGCGAAAATTGATGCAGATTCAAGCAGGTACAATGACCGGTCCCATACATGCATATCCATGACAAGCATCTAGTTGAAGATGTCCCTGCTCATTGCAGGGCAGTTGGACTAGATGATTTTTGAACGTCCCTTCCAAATGATTTTGTGATTCTATGATCTTCTTGTTAGGAGGAATGATCTAGTAAGACGGAAATCTATGTGGAGACTCAGGAAAACCTGAACTGTTTCCTGCTCTCTGGACACATCATTGTTCATATTTTCACAGGCTTCGTGGAAATGTAATTTTTACTTCTCAGATCCTTACCTGTAACATGGAGTATTATCTTGTAAGAATCTTTTAAGGCTAAATTAAAAAAAAAAAAAGTGGTTAGATACTCTAGTAATGGGAGCTGAGTGGGTAGGTCAATATGCCGTAACCACCCCCAGTTTGTTTTCACGGTGTATTCAATCAGAGGTGAAAAATGCTACTTTACCTGTTATCTGCTTACCAGTTCACTAATCTTAGGAGGAAAAAAAGATAAGGAAGGCCACTTAAAGTTATTGTATAACACTTCATTCAAAGATCTTTCAAGTTACAGCTCCATGGTAGCCTCAACCGAGCTTGCAGCAGCTGCATGTTGTTGCCTCCACTGTTCTTCAAGCTGGTTTACCAGTTCTTTCTGGTGGCTGAACCAGCAATAATCTGTTCATTGGGGAAAACTATTGAGTCTAGTTTTCTGCTAGGTTAGGAGCTGAAACAGAACGGTGCAGAGCCAGAAGAGCACTAGAGCCCACAAGGTAACGAGAGACCATGGCAGCTAGGAGTTAGGTAGGTCATCATGGGCTACTGTGAAGCTGCAGCCTCTGTGCTTCCTAAAAATTAGTGTTAATGCTAGTGAGGACTTGGAGACGTCGGAGATTTTGTCATTTGAGTTGCCCGTCCATCGTGAGTGATGAGGAGTGGAGCCATGGAGGTTTTTCTCTTAGCGTAGCTGGATAAGACCTCTGTAAGAAAAGGGAGTGTTGAGTCATTAACTGAGATATGGGTGGAGTGAAGGGCTGACTAAACTCCTTGTCTCCGTGGCGTATAATGCTTGAGTGAGCAACAGGAGGGATCGGACATGTTTTGTAATATCAGTTGATACACATAGAAATGCTTTTGGAAAAGTCATCTATTTACAAAGAAGCACAAAAAGGCCCGGTTTTACAATTTTTACTGGGGCAGGGAATTCTTGATGCAGTTGCACCAATTTCATTGAAATTATGTGCATGATTAAAAATGGCTTGTGGGTGAGAGGTACAGAACTGGGGTTTATGCCAGCAGAGCTGGTTCCTCAATAGGAGGAATGTTTCTTATTTATTATGTATCTGCAGTAAAAGTACCTTGTTAATTAGTGAATCTCTTCATGAAAAGGCCGGGGAGTAGTTCATATTTTCTGGTAGGCATGAAATGATGGTTTTGCAGAGAAAAAAAAAATCATTTGGCATTTTTGTTGCTAAAAGAAAAAAACCTAAAATGCAAACATATAAGTGAAAGTGTAATATTTATTTTAGTATTCAAACACCCTTCTGTCTAAATGATAAACTACAAATTACAGTCTTGTAAATCCTTGCCAGAAATGAAATACCTGAGAAATCTTTTAATAAACAGTATTCCAAGGGGTTTTTTTTACCTCAGGCTTTGTAGATGAGGACTATTTGTAGTTCACTTGTAGTTTGAATGAGTTTGATTTGCATGTGTAGCCCTTTTGGCTTTTTTTGTTTTCATAGAATCACAGAAGGGTTTGGGTTGGAAGGGACCTTAAAGCCCATCTAGTCCCAACCCCCTGCCATGGGCAGGGACACCCACCACTAGACCAGGTTGCCCAAAGCCCCATCCAGCCTGGCCTTGAACACTGCCAGGGATGGGGCATCCACAGCTTCTCTGGGCAACCTGTGCCAGGGCCTCACCACCCTCACAGGGAAGAATTTCTTTCTAACATCTAATCTAAATCGACCCTCCTTCAGCTTAAACCCATTCCCCCTTGTCCTGTCACTCCCTGCCCTTGTAAACAGTCCCTCTCCAGCTTTCCTGTAGCCCCTTCAGGTACTGGCAGGTGCTGTAAGATCGCCCCGGAGCCTTCTCTTCTCCAGGCTGAACAACCCCAACTCTCTCAGCCTGTCCTCACAGGAGAGGTGCTCCAGCCCTCTGATCAGCTTCGTGGCCTCCTCTGGACTCGCTCCAACAGCTCCATGTCCTTCTTGTACTGGGGCCCCCAGAGCTGGACGCAATACTCCAGGTGGGGTCTCAGGAGAGCAGAGTAGAAGGTGCCTCCCTCGACCTGCTGGTCACACTTTTGACCGTGATCTTACTGATTCATCCAGACCTATAATTGTATGTGCATAGCATTCTGCTGGAGGACTCACATTGATACAGGTTCAGGGTTGGTGCCTTAGTTTATACAAATGACTGTGGATACTGGAAAAAGCAAAATATTGATAAATATAAAATATAAAATAGATTTCAGAGGTAATACATGAACTGTCAGTTACTGTGAATAAGCAAAACAAACTGTTGCAACTTTGGGTTACTTTTTTCCCAGAAATTAAACTACTGAATAGTGTTTTCACTCATTCTTGACATAATGGTACTTGAAATGTTCTTGCTGAGCTAATTAGCTTTGTGACTACATTCATAAAAATAATTGTAATTGCATTAGCACTTGTATTATCTTACTTTATCAGGACAAGGTGCTTAAAGACAATGAGATTCTCAGTCTTTCAAGAGGATATACAAATTAATCATTGCTTAAGTTCTTCATGTCACCAGCCATCCACTGGTCACTGGGAAAGAGCCATATATTCCTAATTTTCCTAAAACACTACTCATCAGTATGTCTTGAAAAGCCTCATAGCGGAGCTCAGTGTCATTATCCCCATTGTACAGATTGGAAAATGATGCAAAGGTGATAGAATGTACCTGTTTCATGTGCACAAACAGCCCTGAAAACTGTACCATTTATCCAGAAGATAAGTTTAGTATGTTGGTAGTTTAATGCTGCGTCTGTGTGGTTATGCATGTTCTTTTTTCTGTAAATTTAATTCATTACTTTCTTTCATTCAGTTGGGACTCAAAACAGACAGCAGCCCCCTGTTCCTCTGATTTGCACGCAAAAGTCAACTATATCAAGAAAGAGAAATAAAAAGAAAAAACTGCCCCTCAAAACTGTTGAACCACTTACCATGAATAAGAAACCCAACGCTGCAGAGAACGAAAAAAAGCTATCGACAAACACAGAACGATCGAGCCTGCCAGCAGTTGAATCCCCCCTAAAACCAGAAACCCCTGTTTCAGGATTTGGAATTATCCTTGAATCGGCTTCATCAGATGTAAGTTAATATTTTAATATGTGGGATCACAGGATTTTAAAGCACTAATACATTCAGGAGAATGAGTACTCAAATCAGGTTACATGTGTTCCCGCTTTTTGTTAGAATAAACAAGCAAATCTTGGGTAGGGTTGAATGGAGACAGAAGGTTTAGACATAGGGAGTGCTGATTACAAAGTTTGGTTTGGTTTTGTTTTTTTAACTTTCATGAGCATGTAGTTCTCCCTTGAGTTCAAGGCTGCCTGTTGTTTGAGCTTGCAGTGGAAACTTGTTCTTCATCTCTCCTGTTGCCAAGAGTCACCGTGAGATCAGGAACCGTGAAAAGTGCTGCGTGTATAAACCGTTCACAACCCTGTCATTTGCTGATGAGCGCGCGTAGTCCACACGTATGCCCTTACCCTGCCAAGATGTATTTATGTGCTGTGTTTCATGCCTGGCTGGTCCCACCAGCTTCAGGGGACTCCTCACCTCTATAAAGTTCATCCCTCAGTCTTTGCTGAATTGGGTCATTTGGTCTTCATTGCTGTGGTTGCTGGATGACGGCCTTGATGCTGTTGATGATGTCAGTGTGACTAAAGGGGCCAAAATTTGCCACTTTAAAAATGTGTACTTGTCACATGTAAAATTGCAATAAGCATATTTTCTTGATTCATACAACATGTACGCAATGATAGAAATTTCATGTATCTGGTGGCTGATTGGCTTTGTTTAATGACCAAGTAGATGTCATCTGAACCAGTTCACTGATGAGTAAACTGATCATTAATTTCTCTTAATATATTTTTAATTTTGAGCAGGCAGTTTCCAATTTCCTAAGTACTATGAGCTAGAATAACATAATTAAATTCAGTATCAATAAGCGTAAATGAAAACAATGCAGCAGATAATGTTCTACCTTTCTGGAAGTGGGAACTAATAATAAAAAAGAGCAGTCATGATAATTCAGTTATATAGATGCAAGCCACACCACTAATTAGATTGCAGTCTCATGCCATAGAGTCAGTGTAGTGATACAGAGTAACTAGCTCAATGCTTTTTTAGAGGTTTTTCTTTTGTAGTATTATTCTTAATAATGTTTGAGGGAATGGTTTGGGGAGGGACTGGTAATTTATCTCCAATACTCAATTTGTGCTTATAATTTTTCTTTGCTTGTGGCACTCTTTTCAGCTTGAAACATGGTTTTGAAAACAGTTTTATACTTGCGATGGAATTTAATTTGGCTTTATGAATGTGTTCCATCGCTGGACACCATTTTTCGTAGTTGCCAATTTGACCTAAGGGAAAAAAAAAGAGAAGACATGTGGCTCATAAATCAGGTCCTCATCTGCCCTGCCATGCTTTGGCCCCTGCTTGCCACAGTGGTTGTTTGACTAAATTTACAGAGCCAGAACCCCGAGACAAGTAAATTGATTTTGTTCTGTCTTTGGAAAGAAACCAGTTGAGTTCTGAAAATCTATATATTTAACAGCGAAATAAAATGTGACCTTAAACATTTTGAGAAGGCTAAAGAAAGTCACTTACTTCAGAATGAATGGCGGTATTATCTTTTTCTATTTATTCATAAGCATCTCTACTGTGCTCATGACCAGCATGTCTGAGTGCCTGAAAAAACTGAAAGACATTTTACGCACCACCATAAATGAATGTTCCCTTGAGAATATTGCACGGATTGTCTGTAGTGTCTGCTGTGTCACACGCCAGGACTGTCGCTGCTGTTGTTTTGCCAACGTTTATTGAACTTTAAGAAAAATCTCAGTTTAATATGTGTAAAATTGGGGCTACTGAAAACACTGCAATTACTTCAGATTTGTTGAGATGAAATACTACTACTTATGGAGACGGAAAAAGTTTTTGTGAGACCAACTCTTAATCCAGCCCATGAATCAGAGAACCTGTTTTTTAAATGTAGTGATCTGTTACTCTTAGGTAAACTTTCTCGTGCTTGTTTTACTGTTACAATATTTCATTTATAATCTAATCATTCCTAATCTGTGTAGTACAACCTGGTAAAATGTCCAGGATTAAATCTAATTAGCTGCCTGTTAATTTTAGCACAGCAAAAGCCTTTGGCATTCAGGTCTTATTTACTTTATTGTACACAAATAGTTTACCTAGCAGTTCCTTGTGCCATGATCATTATCTGCTAAAAAATGCTTTTCCTTTTGAGAAACCGCACTCAAAGTGGTCATGAAGTTCAATTAGGTACTGATTGCCTTTGATTGAAGAATAGTTTGCCACTCAAGGAAAGCAAGAATAAATCAACGTTTTGCCTTCAAATTATTTCACTATTATACAAATTGATTCATACAGTAAGAATAAAATAGCCAAAACTAAAATAAGGTTGATTTCTCCACGCTGGTGCACTGGTAAAGTTTGAAATGTATTTTACAGCTGTATTATTGAAGGTGATTTGTCTGCCCTAGGCATCTTGTATCATCGAGGTCAACTTACATAGCTATCATAAGACCCAAGACCCAAGTAACAGAATAGGACAAGATGCCTTCATCACCATGACAACTGGTTTTTGATTAATATGAAGTACAATTTTTCCCAAGTTGTAAACTTGGCCCACATTTATTTACTCTTGAAAATCTTTTCTGTCACCAGAAAGTTTAGAAGTAACATATTAAAACCCCACCTACATCAGAAGATTGTCAAATGTCAAATAGAGTAACTCTGACTGTTTTGCTGGATCCAGCATTTTGAAAGTTCTCAAGGTAAAAAGAACAACTTTTCATCCAGAAAAAGCTGAGAAACTTATGTGCTTTTTAGATTTATTTTTTTTTAATTACTATCTGCATATTTTAAGATTCTTCATCCTGGCTTCCCAAAGCATTGTAATCTTCAGTTTTAACACACAATACCCATGCATATCCAATGATAGTATGTGCTTTGAAAATATTCTGCTTGATGTAAGTCTCTTGATACTGATTTTTAAAAAATCCATGGGAAAAGACTTACACAGCCATATCCTTCTGAGATTGGCAGCCCTTTCTTCTGTCTAGACTCAAGACATTTGCAGGTGATTTGATGGGAGATGGCATTTGCTCTTGCTCTGTAAATATCTTAGAAAACTCACCATCACTGGTGGATATATTTTCATATAGGGGAAAAAAAAGAGCAAGTTATTAGGAGCAAGGCTGTAATGTTAGCTTATTTTCTCACACCATAACCACTGATTTTTTTCCCCCCTTGCCAGCTTCCAGATAATATCTTAAAAATTTCAGCTTATTCATGATGTATCTTCATTCTAGATATATAATTATTCCATACAGACATCTTGTGTAACCACTGTGTGGTAGTCACAGAAGAAGATACTGCAAATATTGTTCGTGTAATTTCTGATATGTACAGACAGGGGCAGCAAAAAGACTCTTAGTAACAGGACTTCCTCGAAGGCCTTTGTCTGCTTTGGCCCACAGTGTACTTGAGATTCTTGTGAAATACAGGATGATTTTGCTTCCTCTTCTTTCCCTCCGTCTGACTTTCTAACAGTCACATAAATCCCTGTGATTTACCACTGAGGTTTTTTGTGCTGAAATAAGCTCCTCTTCTAAGGATGCATTTTGGGAATATGAAAAGGAGGGAGAAATGGATCATCAGCAAGTGCTGGCTCCAAGGGCAACCTCAAACTCACCATCTGCTTCTACTCATATGGGCCATATCTGTGCTGGAAGCTCTCTTGGGAATCCACATGCAACAGGCTGGTAGCCCTGCATTTGTGCTTCTTGGAAATGCCTGGCTGCCCCACAGCACACCCATTCCCATCATTTAGCAGTGAAACAAGTCCATAAAATGGTTAGATAAATATCCAAAAAGCATCGATAAGGAGTATTGCTCTGGGACGATCCTCTGGTTTGTCATTATTATCCAATATTGAAAGGTATCTCTTTTCTTTTTGTTAGCTGTACACCTAGAAAAATTGTTAACTATTACAGTGGCTAGAGATGAGTATGATTATTTGATTTGCCTTTTAAGGTGCTTATTCACTGATGGGGTTTGATTTCAATGAAGTAGACTGCTGTGGTACTGAATAGCTGGGAAGAGATTCATGGTTTGATGAAGTGATTGTAAAGTCTCACCAGATGCATGATTGAAGTAAAATAATGTCTTTGAATGCTCGTTTAATTAAAACATTTGTATTCTTTTGGTAGCCAGAAGTGCAACTTGCAGAAGGCTTTGACGTCTTCATGCCGAAATCTCAGCTGGACTCTATATTATCAAACTATACTCGCTCAGGAAGTCTGCTCTTTAGGAAACTGGTCTGTGCATTTTTTGATGACAAGACTTTGGCTAACTCTTTACCAAACGGCAAAAGGAAAAGAGGGCTCAATGACAACCGGAAAGGACTAGACCAAAATATTGTGGGTGCAATAAAAGGTATGTTTTTGCTTGCTTTCCTGTGTGTAATTAGAACATATTCTCAGTGAAGGAGAGTGTAAGGGGATTAGAATTTCTGACGTGTGTTAGACCTATTAAAATATGCAGTCTTATTTTTATTCCCTTTCATACATTTGTTAAAAATAGCTTCTACAGGGAGAGCTTGTGTTAATTTTAAGCCAATGATCCTGGTTTCTGAAGTCGGGCTGTAAGGTTAGAATCTCAGTGTTCATATAATATTTTTTTTTCTGGCTATCAGAGATGCAAAGAAATCTTGAAAACATAATGACAGCATAACTATCCTCTTCATTCACAAGTCTGAGGCTTGCACTGTATCTGACTGTGTCTGTTCGTAAATAGTTTAGTAGTTGGTGGTTGGATTGAGGAGACATGGAAGAAGGTAAAATTGGGACTGAGATGAGTTTGATGCTCGTAGGAACTGTGGTGGTCCTTCATCAGTGGAAGCAAATTTCTTAGTCGATGTGAGGACCCTGTGCTGGGTGGTTTTTCTTAGCAATCTCTGCTTTCTAGCTTCAAACTCTGTGATCCCAACATATGAAGAGTTAGTATTAGATCAGAGATTCCTAACAGGATTCTATTATTTTGAAATCGGACGTAGTAGGGAAAATACCCAAGTTACCAAAAGGCTGGCTGTGTTGCAAAATAGAGCTTATTTTAGAGGCTGTGACTCATCCTAGGGTACAGATTGCTAACCTAGGAGACATAAGGCGATGAGAAGAGCTTCTATAAGTCCATTGGCAGCAAAAGGAGGCAGAGGAACCTTTTGCAGCCACCTCTGTGTCCATTTTTGGCTCCCTCTCCTCATGCAAGAAAGACGTTGATGTACTGGCTTGAGTCCTGTGGATGGCCACCACGACTTGTGATGCTGAAGCAGGTGAGGTATGTATGTGAAGTGTCATATGAGGAGAGGCTGAGAGAACTGGAGAGAAGGTTCAAGAGAAACCTTATTGGTGTCCACAACTACCTAATGGGACGATGTAGGGAAGACAGAGTCAGACTCTTCTCAGAGGCACAGGAGGCATCGGACACATGGAAAATTTCAGCAAGAAAAGCTTTTTCAACATAAGGGTAGTTGAACAGTGGAATAGGGGCTCAGAGGGGCTGCTTCATCCCTGGAAATATTCAAAACTTGACTGGTTGCAGTCCAGAGCATCATGATCTAGTTGGCCATACTTTGAGCACCAGGCTGGACCTGGAGACATCCAGAGGACCCTTTCAACCTGTGCAATTCTGCACTAAAGTGTATGTTGTGGCCGTGTCATAGTCCTAACACATCTTTCAGAGTTTCTGGCAGACTTTCTTACAGTTATGCTTATAATTAGGTTTCAATCACAAACTCTTTTTATACCTTCTTTTCTTGAGCTCAATAATCTGCAAAAGTTGAATTCACTCCATCTGTATCTCATTCTTCCTTAAAAACTTTAATAAATAAGTTAAATAGAAGAAAAAAGGAGTTCACAATTACTTTTTAAAGAAAACCAAACTCTAATTTGAGCAGCACTGTGATAAAAGAAATGTTTTTCAGTAGATACAGCAGCACTATTAAAATAGCTGTCGTTACCCACTGCAGAGAGCAGTGTTTCTCCGTAGCTAAGCTCATATTACCAGAGCAAATTCTGAAGCTTGGTTTAACCTCTTCCCTTGAGCCCAGGGGAAAGAAAGGAGGGAGTTGTAGTTCCAACAGATAATTTTCATCTGTGATGGTACTACGAGGTACCGCTACAATAACAGTGATCTTTATTGGCATTTACAGTATTGCCCAATTGCTAGTGCCTGATCCCTGATAGGGGAGCCCATCCCTAAAAGCTGTGATGGAATAAGATGCCAAGAGCTGACATCCTGTGGATCTTTACTCAGCCTGGCCCCAATAGCACCCTTCTTCCCCCCCAAAGTGCTGGGCTATCCAGCACTGTGGTTTCATTATTCCAAGAAATAACTGAGCCAGTATGAAATCTCCACAAGAACAGCGTCATGTTGTTTGCGTTATTATCAGTAGGACATTGCTGTATCACGTGCTCAGATATCCTTTAGTGGATACACTTTTACTCCTTTTCCATGACAGAGATACAGAAGTGGAGAAAAGGCTACATTCATGGCAAAAATGAGCAGAGAACTTAAAGGAGGGAGTGTTTGCTTGAAAATCACTCTTCCTGTCTGAAAACATTTTAACTGCCATCCTTACAAGTAATTTAGTGCTTCTATAACAGGATGATTAGCTGGGGAGAAATTCTCTCTTTTTACTTTGGGTATTCAGTGGCACTTGTTGAATCAGTTGTAGTGTTTCTCCTGGGTAATCAGGTTCCCTTGTGAGTCACATCAATCTTTCACTCAGGACTGGGGGAAAAAAGAAAAAAAGAGATCAGAAGTGGTTATTTTTCCTTTATGTCATTGACTAGAAATCCAGCCAGTGAAGTCCTTCCTTCAGAAGTCAATGAACTGTGTTCACACGTATGTGAGATATGTCCTTCACGGGTCGGTACTGGGAACCAATACTATTTCATATCTTCATCAGTGATATAGACAGTGGGATTGAGTGCACCCTCAGCAAGTTGTGGATGACACCACGCTGAGTGGTGGAGTTGATTCGCTGGAAGGAAAGGATGCCATGCAGAGGGACCTTGACAGGCTTGAGGAGCAGGCCCATGTGATCTTCAAGCAGTTCAACAAGTGCAAGGTCCTGCACATGGATCGGGGCAATCCCCAGTATCAATGCAGCCTAGGAAATGACTGGATTAAGAGCAGCCCTGAGGAGAAGGACTTGAGGCTACTGGTAGGTGAAAAGCTGGACATGACCTGTCAATGTGCACCTGCAGCCCAGAAAGCCAACCATATCCTGGGCCTCATCACAAGAAGTGTGACCAGCAGGTCAAGGGAGGTGATTCTGCCCCTCTACTCTGCTCTCCTGAGATCCCACCTGTAGTGCTGCATCCAGCTCTGGGGTTCTCAGTACAAGAAGGACATGGAGCTGTTGGAGAGAGTCCAGAGGAGGCCACAAAGATGATCAGAGGGCTGGAGCACCTCTCCTATGAGGACAGGCTGAGAGAGTTGGGGTTGTTCAGCCTGGAGAAGAGAAGGCTCTGGGGAGACCTGATAGCAGCCTGCCAGTACCTGAAGGGGCTTGTAAGAACAGTGGCAAAAGAGTTTTTACCAGGGTCTGTAGTGACAGGACAAGAGGTAATGGGTTTGAACTGAGAGAGGGCAGATTTAGATTGGACATAAAGAAGAATTATTTTTTTTACAATGAGGGTGGTGAGACACTGGGACAGGTTGCCCAGAGAAGCTGTGGATGCCCCTGGCTCCCTGGCAGTGTTCAAGGCCAGGTTGGATGGGGCTTTGGGCAACCTGGTCTAGTGGAGGGTGCCCCTGCCCATGGCAGGGGGGTTGGAACTGGATGGGCTTTGAGGTCCCTTCCAATCCAAACCAGTCTGTGATTCCTTGATACAGGGAGTTGTTAGCACTGTACAGCTCAGGTGGACTAGAAAGGAGAGGTCCCATTTCTGCCTCCTTCCTATTGCATTCATTTTTGCCCATGTTGGTGTTTCCCTAACCACACATTGAACAATCAAAGCTATTTTGACTTTCATTCAAGAGAAGGACCAAGCAAGTTAGAGAAGAGAAGCAAATTAACATACTGGCTCTCCAAGGCTGCTGGACTCTGGCTTCCTGTGCAGGCAACAGCAGGCAGCAGACGTAATTCCCACAGTAGGCACCTGTGGTGGGTGGCCTGGTGTCACAGGTTGTCCCCAGGCCCTGATCACAAACAGGAACTGCAGTTGCGTGTTTGAAGTAAGCAGGAGTCTTAAGTCATTGATCAGGTTCCCATTGTGTCAGGTACGGGATGGATTCAGAAGGGAAGGGTGATTTCTACCTTCAGAGAGACCGTAATTGTTGCAAATCGGACACTGGCAATGTGTTGGGCTGTATTGATCTCTCTGGGGAGCCCTCAGCGTTGGGCTGAGAGGAAAACATTGCTAATGCCTTTCATGCAATGGGTTTGTGGAGTTGTTACCACAGAAGGAGTTTGGAGGGTGTGTTTACTTTTGGTCCCTTTATACTTATCAGCTAATGCTGTTTCAAAAGCGTGTGTTAAAAATAGTGAATTTTGTCAATTTTTTGTTGGCATTCGTGTGACATTTATTCTCAAGGATCACAAATTCCTTGAGCTGGGACCAGTTTTCTTTCTTTGTTTGCAGTCATAATTGGACACTGAGCTCTGAGGCCTCTGACCAAGACGGCAGTAATAATATTTTTTTCTATTTCTGCTTTTGTTTATATTTTTGCACACCTCTCAGGTGTGTGGTGAAAATCAATTGCATCAATTTCACTCCATTTATAATTTTGTATTTTTGGTATAACATTCCTAAATTTGCTATAAATATGGAATTAAAGAGATTGTTGACCCTCTATGTACCATTTTTACAAAATATAAAATTAGGCCTATAGCATACTTCTTTATTTCTCAGTAATGGCTTTTTTTATTTTAGTAGCTGTATAAAAATTCTATTCCCTCTGGTTTGGCAGTATGAGAACTATAGAGATTTCTGCAGTGGTAGGACTTCTGTTTTTCATCGGTTTGCCTGCAGCCTTAGGAACCTGACCAAGAGGCCACCAAATGACCAAATCTTCAGCTCTGTACTCGTACCATATGGAAGGCGGCATTTATAAGTGCCTGCCACATCTGGAGACTCAGTTCAAAGTACACTAGTATTTTTCTGTGATGTTTTTGTGTGAAAATCGTGAATGGAAGACACCAGGTGTAGACAGTTTCTCAGGGATGGGCTTTTGTAAGTACTAACTATGGTATTGCTGTGATATTTATACACACGAATGACTTCTGAATCATAAACTTGTGAAACGCTGAGTTGGACACTGTTCTCGCAATCCTAGATTTGGCCATTTACATGTTTTTTTATAAGTGGATAATTTGATATATTTTGTTCATCATCCCCCCCATCCTCCTTTTCTCCATTCTGGTGACACATTTTAAAAAGATGATATCTTTTTATTTCAGTCTTTACGGAAAAATACTGCACTGCTAACCATGTGGATAAACTTCCTGGTCCTAGGGACTGGGTCCAGATTCTTCAGGATCAAATTAAACTGGCAAGAAGACGATTAAAAAGAGGCTCAGGTATGTATAAAAATATAAGGAACGACATGCGAGTGTGAGGTTAAAATCTTACAGCCTTTGTATCCACAGAAGCGTTTTTCTTGTTAACTGCAGAGTTGTACATGTTCACTCCATGAAAATTAGACCTCTGAGATTTTAGCAGGTTTCTGTGCAAAGCACAGTGTTTCCTTATGTTTGGTATGGTAGCAAGTTTAGGAGCTGTCTTTGAAGCCAAGTTAACTTTGAGTCTTTCTCAAGTGTTGTCTCAAACCCCTTTCCATTAGCACCCAAACTCTTCTTCCCCGTGTTTGATGAAATCTGAGTCCTAAACTAGCTGATCCATCCAGGGTTGCAAGTGGAAGTTTTTTTAATTCTGTGTTACTTGATCTGACAAGCCACTCACTGTACTGTCAAGACATAACCCAAACGACCTTTCCCTCTAAACTATTTGTGTCTGGAAGGATAGATGAGTTTTCTCACATTCCTTGTGAAAGAATCAGCATCGCTGTAGCAAAAAAACCCAAACCCACCCACCCTGGTTGTGCCAGCAAGGCCCTGCAGTACATGGGAGGGAGCTTTCCAGCAGCGAATAACAGGTAATATAGGTAGGGTTTTGCAGCAAAGCTGCTCAACTTGGGCTGGGTTAACCTGCATGCTTGGGGCTGGGACCAGCCAGTGGTGAAGGCTCGGCGCTAAGCTGTCACCCTGGCAGCACGCAGCTGGTGAGCTCTCAGCTCCAGCGATGAACAGCAACGTGCAGTCTTGAAATCCCCGGTAGAATTCATGGGAAAGCAATATCACTGATTAAGAGATGTGTAATTACTTTATAAACCTTAACTAGTCTCCTTCCCATCTTCATGCCTCCTATCCTACAAGGGGCTTTCTTCATACAAGGCTTCGCTTACTCTTCCTCACCCTAGTGTTTCCTTAAAGCTCTCTCATGGTCGTATTTCTTACCCATTGCTCCCTCGGAGCATCTGACACCATTGTCTGAGGCACATCACTTGTGCCAATGTCCTTAAACACGGTCCTTCGCTGTTACCATATTTAGCTGCCTGCCTTTTCCCCTCTTCCCTTCTGCCCATCACCACAATTAAGTGCCTGTTCGCATCCACGGATGGGAAACCCGATGGCTCTGCAGGGCATGCTGGTGGTCCCCGTGGCTACGGGTTGCGGGGAGAGACCACGGGAAAGGTCCTCTCCGGCTCCCTGTCTCTGAGAACCAACGCTTTCTATCCAAAGCTGTGTATCTGAAACACACACTTAGACTGGCATCTGAAACCGTTCTCCACAATGTTATTAATGCCAGGAGGGAAAAGGGTAAGTCTGAGGAAAATGAGGAACACCCAGAGACAGAAATCACACAGGGGGAGAAAAAAAAGTGCAGATTATTCAGTAACATAAGCTTCTCTGAGTGGAGAAGCAAACCAGCGCTAGCCTTAAAAAGGGTTTCTTGTGCGTGTTGGGGGAGGGAGGAGAGAGGGATACAAGATAATCTTGTTAAAGACAGTGTCAGATTACTGGTGTTGTACAACAGGACTGCTTTCTGCCCCTTCCAAGGCTGCCTGTCCTGCCCCCCCACAGGACAGGAGGGTGGAATTGGGATGCCAGGCTTCGATAAGGTGACGAGTGCAGCGTGGGCTGCAGGGAGCAGAAGGTCCTTAGGCTGTCTGCAGAAGATCCCTCAGGAAAGAGGATTGACCTAATTTTGTTTTGATTTTTATTTTCTTTCATCCTTTTTTATTTGCTTTTCTTCGTGCCTCTGCAGGATATTAATTAAAATGACAATGAAGTTCAGCTTTTGCCTTTCAAATGGGGCCATCTCCATCTCTGGTCCTTTCTCAGGATGGGAGAATCTAAGCAGAGGATATTGTCTCTAAGCTAGTAAGGCTATGAAGAAAAATAAGTGAAGCTGAGCATAGTGTGACTGAATAAGATAGGGTCCAATATCTGTCTCTGCCTGCAGAGGGAAGGTAACTCGTTAACTGGTATGTGGATAAGTAGTGAGCAGTAATGTACCTAGCAGCCCCTCAGTTTTATTTGCTGAAAAAAAGTACACGACACCTAGATGGGTAGAAAAGATCTTTTTTTGTGTTGTTTGGTTTACTGGCCGTTCCCTGAAGTGCACCGGTTTCTCTCGGACATGAGACCACAGGCAGACATGCTCTTTTCGACCTAGCAGGAGTGACGAACACACCACAGTGGCCATCTGCACCTTACCCTCCGCTACCATCTTCACTGGTGGCCTACGCTAACCCAACCTGACCTTGCACTGAAGCAAATGAGAAGTTTCCACAGCCTTTGTGACAGCAAAACAGCAGAAAGCAGAGAGGCAGGAGCAGGTAGCTGGTTGCAGTAACATCTTCATCTTGTTGAAACAAAATTTGTTAGTATTTGTGCATTACAACCATGAGCTTCTGATGTGAGGGACATAGAGCTGATCAGGCCACAGATCCATCTAGTCTCGTAGTTTGTTTCCAGCGCTGGCTGTTAGCAGATGCCCGGGGAGGTCTAGGACCAAGGGAAGGATGTTGCAATGCTTGCTAGCATAGTCTCACTGCCCTCAGCAGCTTTATCCTGATATAAAACTGGTCATGTGGGAACTGTGCACATTTTAACTACTCATTGTGAAGCCAGCCATACTAAAATCATTAAAGCTGTGTGTAACTTGGAGACCAAAACAGGAGCAGAGGGCAGACGTGGAGAGAGGTTTGATCTGCTATGGGGAGAAGGTGTCCCAGGACTCCATGTTGCAAAATATAGCTTTTAAGAATCTGAAAACTATGGGAATTGCAGCCACTGAGACATGGGACTCACACTCTTCCAGCTGAGCTCTTGAGCTCTTCCAGTCCGTGTGTGTCCGGTGGAGCAGAGGCTGAGCCCTTCCGAGTGAGTGTCCTCAATGTACGGACCCCCCACGTCATTCTCTCTTAGTTTTGTCTCCACTTGCTCACTGAAACACACCGGCTAAGTCCATGGGTATAGGCTAAGGTGCCCAAAGAACAAATCTGCGCCAGCCTTAAACTAAATTCACCTGAGACTTTCTGAGCCAATATGTCCCTCCGGTGCCTGATCGCACTGATTTGTCTACATTGGTTTCTGGTTTGTCGTAACGCGCAGGCTTTATCTGAAAAAAGCTTAAGATGATCCATTTATTTTACAGAAGCCACAAGACAACTTTTTAGTTGCGCTAAATTTTAAATTTAAGAGAGGAGAGGCAGACTTTCCATCCTGCTTGCCTTCCCCTGAGCCATTTAGTGCATCCTCTGATTAGTTCTTCATTTCAAACCAGGCAGTAAGACACTGCATTCATGAGCAGCCCTCTCTGCTTTATCCTGTGAAACATTATTTCAGTCCGATAATGTAAATCCTGCTCTAGCTTTCAGTGATATTAATAATTTCAGAGAATTGTAGCAAATGAGTGGGGTGGATCTGCTTTTTGTACCTTTTTCTGTAGGGCGTACTCTCCTGAGTGTTTCCAAATTAAATGAAATCATGATCACTGGATCGTAGATGCTCCCCAGCTTCAACCTTATTTATCATGTTTGGCTCATCTCCTAGAATTAGGGACAGAAAAGCTCCCTACTTGGAAAGCTAATCAAAAAAACACTTAAAAATTCTGCTTTCTAGAAAATAGTTCCCCTGTGTAGATTTTGAAAGGTTGTTATCCTAAGCCAAATAAAAATTCATTTAAGTTCTGAATCAGTGACAATATTTTTCATAGCTGGAAATATTCTTTTTATTTTTTTTTTTTGCTTTGGCTTTTTCTTAGTTCTTTTAGATTATTGCTTGAGATCTGAGACTTGTGTAGGGTTTTTTTTATTTGTTAGATCTGAGAATAAAGCTGTCACTGCCATTAAATTTTTATTGGCCTTGTTCAGTCTTTTCAAAATTTCACAAGTTGGCTGTCACAAAGGGGAGAAGAGACTGTGAGGTTAATGTTACAAACAGATGTTATAATTAAAATTAAAGAGTATGATAATATTCTTCAGCCTTGACTACTGGTCCCATTTCATGCCAACAGCACAGTACTGGGGCACGGCTTCATAGTGCCAGATCTGTCTTCTCCCAACAGAGAAGATGAACCTTTTTGGCTGCTGGGATGGGATGAAAAGTGGCCCTGGAAGGGAAGAAGTCAAAGGAAAAGGCATGTGCAGAGGTTTCCTCTCTTAAAGCAGCGTGAATTACAATGCAAATTGCCTTGTAATTTACGGTGGCGGGTTTCCCACGGCGTGGTCTTTTCACCCTGCAAAAGAGAATATGGGCAGGTGGCTGGTGGCTGGTGGCATTGCCAGCGGCAGCACACAGAGAGACAGTCAACCATTAGCACAGAGATCTTAAACCAGGTAAAATCAGAAGGAGCTGACTCGCTGTTCCTGTCACCTCTGTGCCAGACATAGCATCCAAGCCTTTTGATTACTAAACTCTCCATCCACTAATAAGCAGTAGGTCAGGGGCCACACATCTCTCGCAGTAAGTTCTTCCTCCCTTTTTATGTTTTGAAGAGCCTGTAAGCCATTATTCTGTAACGGCTGTCCATTGCGTAGACAGGAAAGCTGATACTGTATGAGTAATACTCCCCAATAACAGAGGGTAAGAGCTGTTCATGCAAAGTGATTACCTTGCACGTAACCTGGAAGCTTTTGATTGCCCTGCTCCATAAAGGAAAATATGACAATATTAGAAAACATGCTGAAATTTTTCAGGCAGGATTAATTTAAATAAATTACATGCCATGATGCTTCATCCTTGAATTGTTGTTTAAAATTAACATTAACTTGTTGCAGCGTAAAATAGTGGGAATGAAGGAAGAAAAAATGCTTACCTTTTTTCTGGAAATACACCTTTTCTCCCACGTCCTTGTTCAAACTACTGCTTCCATTGTTTCATATGAGGGTTTTTTTGCTTTCTATTTCTCTTCATCCTTCTGATTTCTCTGGTTTGCATTTTTGCTGCAGTATCTATGTGTCGGCGAGAGATCAGGTTGATTTTTTTCTTAGCAATTCATACAGGACCAGGAAAGATGTAGGATATGAGGCCAACATCTGGTACGGTGCTTTTGTGGCCAGTATCTTAGATAGAGATGGCAATATTAAAATGAGTAACTGCTGCATTCATCTGCCCAACCCTAAGCATACGTATACTCCTGTCCAAGGAGCAAACCAGCAGGTGTACACTTAACAGACAACCATGTACATTGGAAGCCAAACAATTTTTTTTGGGGAAAAAAAATAAATTCTAAGGAAACGACTACCAGGTTTGTTTTGCAAGAGCTACTGAGCTCTAAGCAAAGGACAGAAAAGAGGCTCTGAATTCCCACAGTAGGATCTATTCCTGCTTGCCTTGTCTTGCAAGCTGGCTCAGGACAAGTAAAGTTTGGCTGGCAGTCTCTGGGTGCGGTTGTCGAAGGCAAACCCTTCTTTCCTGCTTGGAATGACATGTGAGAAGCTGATGGTTTACATCCATGTTAGGAGGTCGAGGTGTTTGTCTTGCCTTTGTGTCATACTTCACCTGAAGCTGTGGTTACGTATCCAGTTTCATAAATCTGCCGTGCTTCCACTCCCTTTCTGGCGCTGGCACAAGCATTCATGTGTTGTCAGTTTTTAACTAGATCTGATCTCGGTGACTGTATAAACGTTTGTGCTGGCTTGAGGAACAGGACTGGAACAATTGGTGGAGAGCTGGACTTCATCTATCAGGCTTGTGTCAGATTAAAATGGCTGGGTAGCTCTGTTACCAACAAAGCTGGTTCTGCAAAGTTGGAGACTCAAGTCCTTATCCTCTGAAAGCGAGGTAATTCCTAGTTGTTTCTTCCTGTATTACTGCCTTCCTCTGAGCTCAGTTTTAGCGAGGTGTAGGGAGACCAGTTAGGCAGAAAGGTAACCACGTCTCTAGAGCTACTTCAGGAGTTGCTGCTGAGATTTCCAGAAAACCTATCACTTGAGAGCACAGCCTAGTTGGCACCAACCCTGGTGTTGGTAGAGCGAAGGCTTTCCATAGCTTGGGACCCTTCACCCCAAGGGACCAGTTACAGCTTTGTCTCTCGTATGCTGAGTAGCTCTGCCGCAGAATCACTTGGTGCACGTAGTTCATCCTAGCATAGCTAGAAGTTGGCCTCAGACTGTCAGTCCAGATTTTTTAAGCTGTGTATATCCTGCTGGCTGTTTCTCAGCTGCTCATTTCACTGTGCTGTCTCCTCCCATGCACATCCAATCCTTCCATCGTCCAGTCCAGATTCAAACCAGCCTAGGTAACCTCTTTCCATTTATTGAGCCACCCTTTCCTTCCACTTAATTTGTTTCTGCCCAGTGTGCCACCTTCTCACAGAGAGCAGAAAAATGTGTCGGTTCAAGGCACAGAGTCACTTGCAGGTCTGTGCCATGTACTTGTCAGGGCTCTCCATTTAAACCTTCTGTGGGAGGAAAGCTGCTTAGCACTAGGGGTTTTAGTTCGTTTAGTTCAATTAATTTTACAGAACTGAGTAGAGAGCGTATAGCTAAAAACTAAACTGACATCCATGTACGTGCGAGAGAGAGCAGCCTCTTGGTCCTGGGGTGGATAGACAGAGGTTGATGGATCTACATTAGGAAACTAAGTACATTAGGAAACTAATGTAGGTCAGGAACTGGATTAGTTCTTCTTAGAATATCATCATAAAGGCAACAACTCGACATCCTCATGTACAGAGCCATGGTAAAGATGACCACGACAGTTAGCTTAGTTTCAAGTGGGAGCTGAACTAAGTTGCTCCGTACATCTGTAGCCTTGGTCAGATTTGATCCCTATGGATATTGTGCAATGAATGGATGCGAGTATATGTATATCCACCACACTGACCGTGTACAATGTAATGGGCTGGTCCTTTAGGCCCACACCTAGTTTGCTGAAGCACTCTGAAAGATCTCATTGTGTTTCAAAGGCCTTAAATATCATGCTGAAGTGCCAGAAGACAAAGGTAATAGGATTTTGAATAGGGCTTGTGTAGGTTAGGCACTGCTTTCCTGTTACACGCCTATAACTTACTTGGGGTTCACATGCACGCTCCAGGGTACTGCAGTCTAACAAGTCATTGCACATCTGCTGAGCCAAATTAGCTATCTTTATGCATACCCTTGGCCTGTGGCAAATACGAGATGAACAAATTAGGCTTTTAGCCTTCCTTCACCGTGGGCTAAATTAAGTCAAATGATCTTGCATAAGCCGTGGGTTGAAAGCACGTGTGTATACATAGATGGTAATTGCTTGTGTACCTAAGTGGTTACGTGCTTTTGTAATTACACCAGGTGCCCACCTGCATCTTTGAAAACATTTTGCCCTAGTAAATCTGTCCCCTGCAAAATGAGCTTGCCTGTGGTCACGGGAAGTTTGGGTGCACAATGGGGTACTCACCCTTTCCCCGTAGGCGTCGGATGATGGCAGCTGTCAGAGGGTGGAGTACCAGCATGAGAGGCTCTTCCTCCAGAGACCGCTGAGGACTTTTCTGATGTGATTTTATCAAATGATTGCAACTCCTTTTATCATCCGGATATCCTGAAACCTTAAAAAGAGCAAGTGTTACTCCATCCCATTGCTGGCACTACTGCTTCTTAATACCCAACTCCCTCTTCTGAGTTTGCATTTTTATTATATGACCTTTGCCTCCAAGCAGTGAGTTTTTAACTGAGCAATAACAAATTGCAGCTGAGGAAAGTAGATGGAAAATGCAAAATCACTCTACAGTATGTAGCTTTTTAATCGCATTCCCTTATTCAGTAAAAGTAATGAGATTTCTTGTTTATATTTGTAATCAGCAGAAGCAACCGACTGTGATGAGAAGCCGGACATTTCTCTGCTACAAACAGGTAAAATGCATTAAAATTTTTATCAGCTTCCAGTGTGTGTTTGTTTATGGCACAGAAGCAGTTTTCAATAATCCTGGCGTGCCATATACAGTCAGGTAATTGCACACAGGACCCAGCTATCTTAAGTTTTGAATGCCCTGTATTAAAAAACAAATGCATCAGAATCTTGCAGTTTCCCCCTCTATTTCCTGTTCGAAAAACCTCAAGGTTCATGGCAACAGCTGAGCTAACAAAGCCAGTAAGTTACCCTTCTTATGCCAGACAGGGACTCACGCTCATCTCTGGTATTTCTGGGAGATTTGAATTCTTAACAGAGTTCTTGGTAGGGACAGACACAATAATTTGTATTGTAGCATCTGTTCAGTTGTCCAGAGTATTAACAATAATATCTTGGATTCACAGAAGGATTGCAAATCTGTCTATAAGCTAGTTAAGCATTGGTTTATTTTTTCTTGAAGTGCAGCCACCCTGCCTTAAAAGCTTGACAGTTGCTAAACAGCATTGTAGCTATGCATCAGTGTGGGCTAGGAAATTAGGTTTTTGCACGCTGTTGCACGTGGTATTGAAACCAAGACAGGCTGAGACTGAAATATGAAGCACCCTCTCGTTAAGAATTAGTTCATCAATAGGTGCCTTGTCAATAGTAACTGAGCTGATGGGGAACTGAATCCAGTGGGGCTGGAGCCTGGGGAGATGGTCCTTTTCCTGCATCACAGCGTCATTTCCCTGTAATTTCACCAAGATGCTACCTGTTATCCCCAAAGCCAAATTAAAACAAGGGAAGATCTTGAGCAGACAAATAGAGTCGTGGATTATGGTGCATTTTTATCATATTTCTAAGGTGTAACAACAAAGGGTGGTTGGAGATCAGTGATGCTGTTACTTTGAAGAACAGGACAGGGCTGATACTGAGTTGCTGAGCGCAGGGCACAGTACCTGGAGGCTATGGGATGGTCGGGAGAGTACTAGTACCATCGCAGCATCTGTCTCTTGTGCAAGGGCTTCCTAATCTCTCTTGTGTCGCGTAAGGACTGGAGAAGGCGCTTTCACACACCCGCTGCTGTGTGCCGGAGCAGCAGCTGCCAGCCATGGAGCACTGTCGGTTGAAATCCCGCTGTCGGAGCACGTGCAGTTACTAAGGAATAGGACCAGCGAAGCAGTTGGGAGGACAAGCAGCTATAGTCTTGTTCTGGCATGGACCCAGTGGGGGCTGGGAGCACGCGCTGACTGCGAGCCACCGTGCTGCTTTCTTGGCCAGCCGCTGAATATTTCAGGGTACAGTTGTGATAATAGATGCAGGAAGCTCTGGCTTGAAAGGTCTCTTCCAAGTGACATCCTGTTCGTTTCATTTATCGGGGAGGGAAGCGATTCCGTTGCAAGAGGACCCTCATAAAGGTTGCTAATGTGATGTAGTGTTATCTTTTCATTGCTCTGGTAATCATATTAAGGAGCAGAATTATCGGATTGCTGTGCTTTTCTTTGAGCGCAGTTTCTGTAGTTACTACTTGCGTCGTACGTCATTGAGCGTGCCGAGATGACTACGGTAGAGATGACTCCCTTTCCACTCCGCAGCAGATCACCGTTGCAATCTGCTTGCTCGAACACCTTTGAGCATCCATACATGCAATTTTTGAGCTGAAAGGTTTCCTTTGCGATGTATTCCTCTCCGTACTATCTGTGGAGGGACGCCTAAATAAGCCACGCTGCAATTTGCATCGGTGGGGGAGGTGATGCTCACAGGCTGTAAGCCAAGCATTTGACTCACAGCCATTATTATGTGTGTGCGAGGGCCTCTTTATAGTATGTGTCCATGTAATATCATACTGTTCTTGGAAGCAAATGATTTAAAGTGATACACAGACAGTATAATGACAGTAATTATAATAGCCAAAATACAGATGCTTTTTCTCAAGGAGTATAGCAAAAGAGGTGGAATATAACTCTTCCAGAGGTCTTTCCATTTCTTAATACAGCTGGTTTTATAAAGGGGTGCTACTGACAGGTTCTTTAAAGAGAGCCTTTGTGCGATTTATTCAGCTGTCTTCTCTGTTTAGCTTGAAAAATCTTTGGGGAAGAGTCTGTCTGACTCTGTGTTTGTACAGTGCCTGGTGCAATGGGCCTCGGTTGCAGATGACAGCTAATATCAGATAAATCACAGCATCAAGTTGCGCCAGGGGAGGTTTAGATTGGGTATTAGGAAAACTTTCTTCACTGAAAGGGTCGTCAAGCACTGGAACAGGCTGCCCAGGGAAATGGTTGAGTCACCATTCCTGGAGGTGTTTAAAAGACCTGTAGATGTGGTGCTTAGGGACATGGTTTAGTGGTGGACTTGGCAGTGCTGGGTTAACGGCGGGACTCGATGATCTTAAAGGTGTTTTCCAGCCTAAATGATTCTGTGGTTCTGTGATCGGTGGTTAACCTGGTGTGTTGGTAGAATAAAACCAGACCAAATTGGATTGCTCGAGGGGAGTCTTGCAGGAGACTGGAGAGGGGGAAAGGGTGGGGTACGGAAGTTATTTATGAAAGAGGGTTGCTCTCTTGGTCTTCAAGAATTGAACAAACTTGTGATGTAAAAGCACCCAGAGTGAATGACTTGAATCAATGGTAAGTGTTGGTGCAAAATGAAGGGAAAACTCAGATGCCTTTAATCTGCCTTTCGTGCTCAGTCACCCCTGCCTGTGACGCTGACGACATTATGAACAAGATCTGGGTATACATGGACTACCGATGCTGAAATGTCTCAACCTATGCGTTTTCAGGTCACAGCCTATGGCTGACACTTCATGTGAGACACCTCAGTCAGAAGTGCAGTTGCTTTCAGCTCTCTTCATCGTTGGTGGGAAGAGGGCTGCTTCCCGAGAGAGGGTCGGGTCAGCTCAGGTGGTGTTTGGAGGTGCTGGCAGGACTGGGCTCACAGTGCAGGGCATCGGTATGGGTGCTACAGCCGGGTTGGAACCTGCTCCCTCTGTGCCCACAATTAGCAAAGTCTCAGACTTTGGGGTGAACAGGAGTTGTTTTGTTTTCAAAACCCTCTTTTGGAACTCAAAAGCCTTGAAAAAAAATGGAGCTGGTACATCTTCAGAAAACTAAGGAAGACGTTTTTGCCCAATTATATTTTAGCACTTCCGAGCAGAAATCATGCTCCTGTTTTAAAATCGCCCTCGACGCTAAGAGGGCCTTTCCTTTGAAAGCTGTTGATTGAAGGGTGTTTAAAGCAAATTGGAAGAACTGTGGCAGTTAAACTTGCTGGGAACTTTGGTGCATTGACAGATAAATCTCAAGAAAATACTAGAAGAATTGTCTCTAAGAAATGTTAGAAAAGCTCAGGTCTTCCACAGTTCCAGCTTTTGCGCCTACCAGAAGCTGAAGGCTGTGTCCAGACCTGAGCTGAGACAGAGCAGACAGCTCCCAGGCTAATGACCATGGACTAAGTGGAAAGACTGATTGGTTTCTCAGTGATACAGGAACCTGGAAGGTGTGAGATAGATCTTTATCAGGATGAAGATGTGGCAGCTTTTAGAGTCTTTCTATATATGTTGGCACTACAAAAAGGCTCATCTTAATTTGGTCTGTAATTTACATGAAGCATCTGATTTTTGTGTTTAAAAAAAAAAAAGGAAGGCATAACCCATAAGTTCTGCACATGGAAACAACTGTAACCCAGCTGCAACACCTTTTTTCTTGAATCCTCATCTTGAAAATTTCATGTGAAAGATATATGCAGCAGCCCAGGAACATGAGAGAGCCTTCCTTATACTCGCACTTTGGACCGCAGCTGTGCTGAGAGTTTGTATGGTTTCTCCACACTTGGGTTAATTTCAAGATGAGAAAGAATTTTGATATCCCTAAAAGAAGCCGAAACACTAACATTCCAATCCTCAGGTCCAGGGGTGATACAGCTTTGTAAAAAGATGAGAGCAATCCCTTGGTAAAGAAACCGATGATAAGAAAATAGCAACGATCCAATTCTATATAGGTTGTCTCCTTTTCTCTTGAAATACAATATCAAGAAAACGAAACTTCAAAAAAAAACCCAACCCTTTTCTAAACCTTAAATATAAATCCTTTATTGTAATATAAATCTTTATCCTTTCAGTGCATGATTGTATGAGTCTTCCCTTTTCATTGGATTGTATTTGCCTCTCAGGCTGATTGATGTCTGTCTCCTATTTGCCCTGTGTTCTTAGCGCTCTAGTTGTAATTCTTCTGTCCATCTTTCATTGTTCTGTTTAGAAAAAGCACATTCTTAAAGTGCCTTTAAAAAGATGGGATATAATCATACCACGCACCTTTATATATATGTATGTGTATATATATATACACACTCTCCCATATGCATTTAGACCGCTGTGGAGTGATGTGGGGTTTTTTTCTAAAGAACATCCCAAAGTATGTACTTTAGGTTTAAAATTCATGTGGTGCTTTTTTCACTTCTTCAGAACCGTAACTTCAAAGGGGTGAGCATCGCAGCGCAGTTTGTGCCAAAGTCTAATGCAGCGCTTTACATCTGAAGTGGGGTGCACTATATGTTGGCTGGCAAATTCTGTATTCAAAAAAATCTATTTAATTTGCTTTCTTTAGCCAGTTGGGCTCTACTCTAAATGGAATTCAGCACCCGCTGCCTGCGTACACACCAGCAGTTCAGCGCCATCAAAATTAAAGTTAGAACTAAAATATGTAATTTCCATAATTTTATTGTTTATTTTTTTGCAAATTACTGATTTCTTAAATTTTTCTTTTTTTTTTAACTGATTTCTTCAAACTTTTTCTTCCTTCAGGTAACCTTTTCGACACCACAACAGATCATCTGATAGACACAAACCCAGATTTTTCAGCTTGAATTTCACATCCTACATCAGTGTTTTTAGCAGATAGAAACATCCTCTCCTTTGAATAATGTACCTGCAAGATCGGCGCAAGAACTTCAGCGTACCACAAGGCATGGACGTCCATACCGTTTTCCCTTCAAGTTTGTGTTGTTTCACACCTTTTCCATGTAACCTCAAATAACAAAACCGCCCGATTGCTTCACTGTTCTTCATCTTAATTAAAGATGATTTCCCTCTGTAACCAAGGCATTATTTAATTGGCAGGGTATCCACTCTGAAGACATTCTCTTGCTTTTGTTTTTCCTCCATGATTGTATTTTTCCACATGATTGTATGCTTGCCAGCAGTGTTTCGTCTTAAGCCACGTAAAGGTGACTAGACACAGCCGGGTGACTCTTCCCATCCCCGGGGACCGGGGTGGCATCTCTCTCCATCACAAACCCCAGGGCCTCGATGAGCATTTGACTCAGCAAAGTTTTTTTGTGCAAAGCACTTTTCCTTTCCTGGTTGCTGTGGTACCAATGACCAGTCGTACGCAGCTATGATTAAAATGTCCTTGCTGGATTTAGCAGGATATAGAGCAGGATTCCTCCCACCAATGCCCATTTCCTAATCTATGGCAGGGAGAAGCTGTTCCTCAAACAATTTCCCCTACGTGGTCCTAGCAGGATGGTCCTCGAGCATCTTTGTAGTGCAGATTGCTGGAGGTGGTCATTCTCCCCTTGTTTTCCCCCCCCAGCTTGCCCTGCCACCTCAATCTCAAAACGTGTTATTAGTTTGCCGATTTCCAGGAAGAGGGTCTGCACACTGTGATTTTTCAACCACTGCCCATGGCGACAATATTCACTTATTTAAAAAAAAAAAAAAAAAAAGTCACCTTTTGACTGGCGCACTATTGATATCTCAGCAGTTGAGTGAATCGATCAAGAAATTGCACTACCCTCTTAGATGTTGAAGGGGTCGGTCCTTTCAGGTCAGGGCTGAGGTAAAATTGTACGCGGCCCTCCATGCAAACCTTCACTTCTGCACCTTTCATCAGCACTAAATTCACTTTAAAAATGTAGGGATAGAAGGTCTTACCTGCAACATCTGTTGATCACCAAGCGGTTGAGTGTGTTTCCTGCAATTCGAGGGAGAGCTTGCTAGAGCCTTTACAACGGTGTTTCATTTCCCTGTGTATATTTTAGGTGCATTTTTTTTTTTTTTTTGGAAACTATTTGGCCTTTGAGTGTCTCAACAGAAGTGCTATTACAGAGTGGGATGGTTTTAAAAATATTTAATCTCTTTTTTTAATGATCTTAAAGCCTGTTTTCTCAGAGGTCATCAAATGCCCACAAATAACACCAAATCCAACGGGGAGCGGCTTGTTCTGTCGGGCGCTGGAGAAACAAGCACCCCAGCCCATCCCCACCCACCCACCGTGAACTTTTAGGAATGACCGTGTTCTCTCTGAAACTGTGGAATAGATCGAATGTGCACTGCAAACCTTAAAATTTGAGTCTTTCCTTCCTTCGTGGCTTGGAGTTGCCTGCGTTGGGCAGGGGGCACTGGTCTGTCGTGTCCGTATCATAACCCTTCAGCAACAGAATCAGCGTTTTGTAAATTTGGAAGATTGCGTTTGTGTTTACTTACTGTGACTACTGTTCAGACTTTCTTCAGAAATCTTTTTATAGGGTTTATTAGAGAGAAGAAAAAAAAATCATTCCATATTTAGGTAAAAATGTCTCAATCTTCTGTATATAGGTTTTATTAATATGTAAATATTTAGATATTTTTAAATTACTATGTTCTTAATAAAGCAACAAGGGACTAGTTGTGAAATGGTGTATAACATTGTGTCGTGTTACCGATCTCTGGGAAAACCTCTTTGTCAGTTCAGAAAAGAAAACCTACAATAAATAACTTTAATTGCACGTGTGTTCCTGTGTTCTGTGCTGGATTCCTGTATTTCAGAGGAATTACCTAGCAATTACTAGGACTACATAGGGAAATGTATGGAAAACCTTAAAAGTTAGAACCACGACACTGTTTTTCCAGCTGGTTCAGGTGGAAACCACGCTGCCTGCCAATCACGACAACGTCTATATCCAATCACATAATAACTCTTGAGTATTAAGTGCTGATATGCTTGAAGTCTAATTTTAATTGAATTAGGTGCCTTTATAATCTGCACTTAAAAGGTTAAGCTCCGCTTCTATGGAAACAACACATAGGAAGGACAAACGCATACTCATAATTTGGAGTAGCTGCAAAGATATATGCTTGGTAATTTATTATCACACCCTCATCAAATGTTGTTTAGCCTTAGAAAATATTTCTTGCAAAAACATGTTCCCAGTAATCTTCCATCAATTACAAGGAGCCAGTGAAGTGAAAGAGCGGCTCGCCACACCTTTTCAGCTTTATATGAGGAGCGCTAAGGATAAACTGTGGGTAAAAAGTCTAGCGAGAGTTTCCCTTACGCTTCGGTGGCTGCATGGATCAGCTGAAGCTTGGTGCACGTCTTGCATCTGTGTGACATGGTGTGAGTCAGCTCAGCACCTCTCCGTTGGGGAGTACTGAAAGAGCAACTAAATCATCGAGTCACAGACTGCTTTGGGTTGGAAGGGACCTCAAAGATCATCTAGTCCAACCCCCTGCCATGGGCAGGGACACCCTCCACTAGACCAGGTTGCCCAAAGCCCCATCCAGCCTGGTCTTGAACACTTCCAGGGATCCAGGGGCATCCACAGCTTCTCTGGGCAACCTGTGCCAGTGTCTCACCACCCTCACAGGGAAGAATTTCTTTCTAACATCTAATCTAAATCTCCCCTCCTTCAGCTTAAGGCCATCACCCTTTGTCCTGTCACTCCCTGCCCTTGTAAACAGTCCCTCTCCAGCTTTCCTGTAGCCCCTTCAGGTACTGGCAGGTGCTCTAAGACGTCCCCAGAGCCTTTTCCTCTCCAGGCTGAACAACCCCAACTCTCTCAGCCTGTCCTCACAGGAGAGGTGCTCCAGCCCTCTGATCATCTTCGTGGCCTCCTCTGGACTCTCTCCAACAGCTCCATGTCTGTCTTGTACTGGGGACCCCAGAGCTGGACGCAGTCTGGGGTCTCATGAGGGTCTCATGAGAGTGGAGTAGAGGGGTAGAATCCCTTCCCTCAACCTGCTGGTCACGCTCCTTGTGATGCAGCCCAGGACACGGTTGGCTTTCTGAGCTGTGAGCGCACATTGCCGGGTCATGTCCAGCTTTTCACCCACCAGTACCCCCAAGTCCTCCTCAGCAGGGCTGCTCTCAATCTCTTCATCCCCCAGCCTGTATTGATACCAGGGGTTGCCCCAACCCATGTGCAGGACCTTGCACTTGGCCTTGTTGAACCTGGTAAGGTTCACATGGGCCCGCTCCTTCAGCCTGCCAAGGTCAACAGCGATTGAGTTTGCCTATGCCCACAAATTGGCTTCAGATCTGAATGCAACTCATCACTCACACGATTAGGGATCTTCAAGCTTGATGGAACAAATCCATCCTTCGCTAAACAACAAGTATTTTCACTCACCTGCTCTGCTCTGCAAGTCATCTCCAAAAGCGTGGCTTTGTTTGGCTTGGCTTTTTAAACAGGGGGCAGGTTAATACACCATTATTTGTAATGTTAAGTGGAACGTCTGTCTTTAGGATACAATTAGGAGTGAGAAATGTTGCTGTGTGCCAGGATCCGTAAGGCACTAAATGTCATCCGAGCTGCAAAGCCACCAGCAAGTACTACTGCAAGGCTGCAGTTTTACCTGTTGAAACGGCTTCGGGATGGAGCAAACGCCTTTGCTAGCTCCCACGCGTGGGCTCCGGCTGAGGTCCAGCATCCTCGCTGGGCCATTCGGCCAGTGCGTCCCTCTGTCCTGTGTACAGGACGCCTGAGATTAATGCTTTGGGTGAAAAAAATCCTTCTGAAGCTTAAGAGGAAAAAGGATATCCTCCTAGTAACGTGAAAGGAAACTGGAGCCCAGGCTTTATAAAAAATGCATTAATTACGAGACAAGAAGAAAGTCATCTCAAGTGCCTGTGACATGTTGGTTTAGAAATGGCTGGTTGAGTCTTTCGGGGCAAACACGTACCGTCACGCCAGAGCGGTTTGGGGATGGGTGGCCCTAATGCGGCCACCCCTCCTGGAGACAAATCTTCTGCCCCCAAAAACCTACCTGTGCTGAGGTCGTGATGTCTCGCTGGGAAACGTGTCTCTCCTTTGCTGGGGAAGGGAGGGGGCACGGCCTCAGGAAAAACCCACAGGACCACGTCCTCCCAGAGAGACAGGTAGCCAGGATTTCATGAGACTTTGCAAAAATAACCCCCTTGTGCATGTTCTCCCCCAAATCCCAGGTAGCAAAATGCCCCATAGCAGATGCCAAGACATTCCTTCTCCCTTCTCTGGCTCTCCTGCTGCTCGAGCACCCCCACAGCCAGGCTGGGGCAAGCACCTTCTCCCCTTCCTCACCACGCTGTCATCATGGAGAGGCATGAGAGGGGTTTGTACAAGTAGGTCAGGTACGATTTCTCATCCGCCAAATGCTAATAAAAGCCACCGATGTGAAACCTATAACATTATGTGTATAAATAATTTAGCTTCGGTGTGTAAACATGGATTCTGGGCTTTAAAAAAATGAAATAATTCCATCAGCTTTTTCCCCTCCCCTCCATGCTTATGTCGTTATGCGTGACTGCTAATGGGGGCAGAAGCTAATAGTTGGGGAATTTGGAAATTGGGGAGACACACCCCTTGTGTTTCTGCGCTGGCTCCTTCCTCCACCCAGATCCTCAGAGGTATAGAGGAATCGGGATGAGCGAGGGAGCTAATTAGGAACAAAGATGTAATTCTAGCTTGTAATTGCAAGTAATCGTTGACCAGAGGGATGGTGGTAAGAGGAGAAGAGGCTGCGTTTCGTCACCCACGTTCTCCCCTTTGCTCCTCTCACTCCCTCGGGTGGATGCAGGCACCGAGCTCGCCCCACGTAGCATCCATTCAACCTTTCCAGCAGCTGCCTTCAGATGGGTTGGTTTGCTCCAAAATTGCTCTCAGGAGGAGTCCTCCCAGGGTGTCCAAGCCTGCCTCAAGCTGACCTTGTGGCCCTCCAGCCCTAGAAGACTTCACCGCAGCAGAGCAAGGAAGGTAACTGCCAGATAGAAATAACGTCACTCAGAGAGAAAGTCAAGAGTGGCTGCAAGGGGTGAGCAAGGCACCGCTGCTGGAAGTGTTGGGCCAAGGCCAAGAAGGAGCTGCTTTGGCTCACCTTTGCCCTGTGAAAGGAGGGAGGTTTGTCAAGGATTATGAAGTGTGGTGGGGAACACAGCATCCCAGTGTAACTTTGCACTAAAGCATTCGCACTGCCACGATTGCCACCA